TTATCAAATGCAAAAAATTACGACATACTGTTACAACAAAGAGTGGCCTAAAGAGACATAATAAGTAAATAAACACAGTGTCCATAATGGGATCCTAGAACAGAAATGATACTAAAGAAAAAAACAAAAGTGAATGTGGGTTAATAAGGAAATTATTTAATAATAATATACAGGGTTTGTCCATTAATATAATTGATAGACCATGCACCTGTAAAATATTATAACGATGGAACATAATATATGCTGTATGAGAAGCCTTTGTGTATGTTTTGGAATTTTCTATTAATCTGGGAGCATTCTCATTTAAAAGGAACTTTTTAAATATTGAGGAGTTATTAAAAGTATTTATTTTTAAGTTTCTTTTAATTTCTTAAATAGTAATGATATTATTTTCTTTTTTCTCTACTAGGGAGTATGAAGGAAGAAGTGGTAGAGTGGAGAAGCAGGAAAGTTGAATAGATAATATTTAATTTACATTGTTAGTTTTATAGGCAGTTTTTGCACTTATCCAATAAAACAACCCATCTAATAAAATTATTATGGCAAAATACATACTGTTTTCAACAAAATTGATGTTATGGAAGAATTATATATGATATATGCAACACAATTATTAATAGGGAGCCACTTATCTATAAAAATAAAACAGCACAGATTCATAATTCTTACATAATTTTCACTTTCTCCATTCTTTTTTCTCTACATATTTTGTTTCCAATAAAGTATAGATTTAAATATATCCTGTCCTACAGAATCAGAGTTTAAATTTACTGTTAGGTATCTGAAGTATCCAGTCACCTGAGCATTCACTCAAGACGGGAATGTCTGTGAATATAGCACACTTTTGTGGCATCTATTTGAATTTTTCTGTTGAAGCAGTGAAGGATGACTTTAATTCAAAGCCCAGTGAATATGGCACGTATCAATAATTTGGGTCTTCCTCCTTGCCTAATGATTGAGTTAGGCACTCTTATGTAACATGAATTTTGCCAAGGAGCCATAGAGGAAATAATTCTGGGGAAATTTTGGTAAAGATTGCTTTCATTGATATAAAAAAATATATACATAGTGGAGTAGTTCCTCTTCTGATATCTATTTCTATATTAGTAATATATAGCAATAGATACATATTTTCTGTCTGAATCAAAATTTTGAAACTATGGCAACCATGAGAGTAACTTAGAAGTCACTTGTTATTTGAGAAGATGTCTGTTACCCAAATATGTGTTTACTCTTTCAGTTCCTCGGCTCTGAAAACAAATTTCTTCTTAATGTATAAGACAAATTATAAATAATACCTTGACATCTGAAAATGATTTCCAAAGGTTTTATTTACCACAGCGATAATACGTTTTTAGGTATCCAAAGTTTTGCCTGATCATCCAGCATTTTTAAGCCAATTTTCTTTGGATTTAAGTGAAAATATTGTGGATTGCCCTCCGATTTAACCTATTGGGAAATACTGTGCTTTGAAAGTTAACTTTAAATGAAAGTTATATTTTTTTCCTCTATCAGTATTCATGTTTTTATTAAGTTAACTTTTAAGTCAAATACTTGGCAGTCTTTTGGCTTTTTACTAATAAGTCTCTAAGAGAAATGGCAAGGTTATAGATATAAAGAAATATATCATGCGTGAGGTAGTTCAATTTGTGTGCATTCAAGGTCAAAACACTTATTCCATTTGTGCCTTCTGGCTTTTGCAAAAGTATCCCTGCGTTGGGTATATTCTAAGTTGACCCAAAATAGGACATTGTTAACTCTGATACAAACAATGGTTATAATACCTAAATTAACTTCAAAAATGCCAATAAATAAGTTTTAAAATTGTTCTTTATATGACTGTGGTAACAAGGATCCACTATTCTACATGTAACTCTAGTAACAATAATACACTTTGTAAAGCAGATGGAGAGGGGAAAGTGAGAGGCGGGGAGGAGGACAAAAGAATAAGACACATTATGTACATGTACCATATCCTCATGATGAATGTAATCATTATGTACAGCAAACATGCACTCATAAAATAAAAAAAAAGAAAAAGATAAATGATTTTGAATGTTTTCTTTATAGGAAAATGATAAATGAGGAGTTAGATATATTAAACCTGAGTTAAATATTACACAATATATATACAAGCTTCAAAGCTCAAGGAGACATACATAAATATATATAATTTTTGTTCTTATGTACCAGTTAAATATATTGAAATAGAAAATAAAAAGTAAATCTGCAAAAAGTAGCTTGTAAAACTTCATAACTTTTTTATTATGGAATGAAATGATTAAAATTTAGTCTAAATTATGAAGTGCACTCCTGGTAGTATTTGAATTGGAGCTAAATAATTGCATGATTTCACAAAGATATATCTTCAATAACCTATAGCTTATTACACTGAAATATTATCTATATATCTTTATTTCTATTTTGATCTCAAAAGATAAAAAACACATAGAGACAAATATACACACACACCCAACATGCATGTTGTATGTGAAGCTTATGTTTTTTGTATTCTTTTAGAAATGTGATTTCCATGCATTTTAAGTGATATGTTACTTGCCACAATTATAATTTTAAATTCTAGATACTGCAAATTTTAAGAAAAAATTGATACTTAAGTAATAATTTCTGTAATTATTATATATATATATTTATGTAGTTTTTAAAAATTTAAGCCCTCAGAAAATCTTATAACCAATTGCCAACTCAAATCATCTTATTAAATAAATTCAAATAACACATTAGAGTATTTTAAAAGTTTATTGATGGATAATTGGAACATATATTAAACTGTACATATGCAAAGTGTACAATTTAATAAATTTGACATATATACATTCTCATAAAACCATAGCAACAGGGTAAAGGATATACCTGTCAATACAAAGTTTTCTCATTCCCTTTTATAATCTATGTTGTAGATCCCTTTTATCCTCATTTCATACATAGGCACAAATAATAAGATTTTTGTCATAATACATTCCATTGGTTCCCCAAAATTTTAATTATGCTAGATCATAGAGCTTGTGACTTTTTTGAGTTTTAACATTCAACATAATTAACCATGATGTTGAATATCTCAAAAATTCTTTCCATTTTGTTAATGTGAAGTATCCCATCCAATAGATGTACTCCAATCTGTTCAATCAACTCTCAATAAGCATAGATTGTTTGCAGCTTAGGTTACTACAAAATAAATTGTATCAATGTTTATGCGCATAGCTTTGTGTCAATATATCCTTTCAGTTTTCTTAAGTAAATACCTAGGTATAGAGTGGATAAATGATATAAGTGAAAGTGAAAAACAGTTTTCCAAAGTACTTTTGCAATTTCACAGTCCCAGCAGCAGTTCTGTCAGATACTCAGTGGCCTCTCACTGTGGTTTTTTTTTGTTGTTGTTTGTTTGTTTGTTTTGGTACCGGGGATCGAACTCAGGAACTTGAGGTTGCGAGGCAGGCGCCGGAACCACTGAGCTAAATCCCTGGCCCTCTCACTGTGTTTTTAATGGGTATCCCTAGAAATACCAATGCTATTCAGCGGATTCCATTCATATACTTTTAAAATATTCGTAATGAAATCATTTGCCCTGTTTTTATATTTTTCTTATTATTGGCTTTGAGAGTTTTTTTCATGCACTCTGTGTATGACAGTTCATCATATACAAGACTTGTAACTTTTTCCCAGTGTATGGTTCATCTTTTGTTCTTTAATGGTGTCTTATGGTGATTTTCATGAAGTCCAAATTTACCAATTTGTTCCTTTGGGTTATGCTTTTGATATTTACATAAAATATCTCTGATGAACCTAAAGTTCCAAGGATTTTTTCATACTCTTACAGATCATTTGTAATTTAATTTTAACATTTAGTCCTAGATCCATCTGTTGTAAATTTTATATATTTTGTGAGATATTACAGTATAAGTTTTGTATGTGGATATCTGACTTGATCAAAGACTATTTTTTCAGGTGAATTGCCCTCGACTCTTCCCATACACTCTTCATTCATATATGGGGAGGACAACTGCTGGACTTTGTTCTGTGCTGTTGATTTATTTGTCTTTGCTTAGACCAATAGCAATCAGGTTTTATTACTTCAGATTTATAATCAATAAAATAAATAAAATCAAGTTATATTCTTTCTGACACCATTAGTTTTCCAATTTTTTCACTGTTCTGGGTTCATTGCATTTCTATATGAATTATAATCAGTTTGTAATTTTCACAAAATGTCTTCTGGGATTTTGAATATGTTTGTGATAAATCTGTATAGTAATTTGTGATGAACTGAAATATTAACAATATTGACATTCTAGCCTACCACCTCAACTCTTCTCATTAGAATACTTATTCAGATAAAAATAGAAAATCTAAGATTAAAACTATTAAATACATTGATTTACTAACTAAAAATCTAACCCAAGATTCAGTTAATCCAAAATGCTTCAAAGATGAGTTTAAATACTTTCAGTGCAATTCTTTAATAAATTATACCAAAATTTAGGAATAAAAGGAAATTCTGAAGAGCTCATATTTTGTAGTTAATATTACTAATCAAAAGGAAAGAAATATTAGCGATCAAAACATGTCTATAAATTCAAAGATATATGTTAATTATTAATGAACACAAGTATTTCATATTCATATACAAATATATGATTTTTAGGAAACTGAATCTGTGCTCCTCTATGTCTGAAGACACAATTTGAACATTATTTCCCTCTTTTTTATATTTCTTAATCAAAAGAAATACCACAGTTATTTCAAAATAGATATAGATATTTTAGTTGAAACTGCTTTTACATCTACTGGGTGATTTTGAGTATTATATGAAGAAATGCATAGTGCTTAAAACAATTTCTAGCATTTTCTGAGATATATTTATCTTAGTTCTCAACCTAGTCTGCTAATTTCTAGCACATTAGCCTACTGTTTGAAGGATACATTTCTACGTATTATTTTATGTTAAAAACTGTTCCATATTTGTCTTCACTTCCATTTAGGTTGCTTGGAATTAAAGGAAGACACCATTGAGAACCTTCTTGCTGCAGCATGCCTTCTTCAGCTTCCGCAAGTAGTAGAAGTATGCTGCCACTTCCTCATGAAGCTTCTGCATCCATCCAACTGCTTAGGAATCCGAGCATTCGCAGATGCCCAAGGATGTATCGAATTAATGAAGGTGGCCCACAGCTACACAATGGTAAGGAAATCTAGTATTTAATACTAGAGATGTATGCTATATTATCAAAGGTGAAAATAATACCTGTGTAGATATTGAACAACTTTTTAAAATTTAAAATAAGTGTTGTATGCTTACCACATTTTTATTTTCAAATATTATGAGAAATATTATTGTAATATTATATTAGAATATTACTATTATAATAGTATTGTTGTATAATTCCATGTGAAAGCAAATTTCATAATATATTTATTGCTTTTCTTCCTGTATTCATACTTTGCAGGCAATATAGATGTTGATATTGATTGCTTGGAATTTTAAAAGTTGTATAGCCAAGTTTTCTTACTTGCTGCCAGTATATCTATTTTTTTATGTCTATTTGCACACCTGCCTTTATTTTGTCTTCTGTATTTTTCTTTCAACACTTCCGTTAGAGTATGTTATATGTGATACAACTAGCTAGGCCTATCGGATTTGGAATAAAAACTTACAGTTGTAGTGTATAATGTATAGTGTTCATTTAACAGTGAATATAAGACTCTGGAGCAGTATGTTGGGAATTTATATTCTAAAGGAGAATATTTAGATATTTATAACAATCTACATTGTATAAATTTGACTTTTCATAGTATTTTCATAATTCAAAATTTTAAAATGAGTGACTATCACTCAGTAAATATTCTTAAGGTATCTTAAGCCAATTTTATATTTGTCTTTTTTATTTTTATTTCATAACCAGTTTTACCATCCTTATAGATTATAAAAGTCATTCAAATAGTACAATTTAAACATGTGATAATTATGTTCTGGAATTTGTTTTTACATAACTTCCATTCTAAAACAGAATAACCCATTTGAAGTGTTTGATACCCATCATATTTTATATGGCAGAAAAAATTATCCCAAAAGCATTTCATATATGTTCTGGCTTAGAGTAAGCCCTATGTATATGCTATCACTTTTTTCTCTTGTTATTATTATCAAAATTAGTAAGGGTTCTATTGTTATTATTGAAGCAACTAATTTTAAAGTATTACAGACCTTTTCCTTTCCAAATCAAGAGGTTACCTGAGATCAGTCTTATTAATCTTGATGGTTTCTATTTAATTCAAGATTCAGATTTTGAAATTTAACATTTTAAAGCTTTAATGAGATTTAAACACTTAAAAGTATTCTAAATGTTATTCATAAACACGGTTTCAGTATTATTTTATTCTTTAATCCTTTAAGCTTATTAGTAAATTAGATGAAAATGTAGAAATGAAAAGGCAACTCATGATTTATAATTCTATTGTCAAATCCTTCTTTAGAAATATTTCACAACATGGCACAGTCTTACTTTAGAAATTACATGAACCATACAAAATCAATGTAAACAAGTACTTCATTAACCAAAATATCAAAGTCCAATTGCTGTCATTTAATTAGGCACCTTTCATTACAATTAGGGATTCCTGGCTTAGCTGAGACAAGGAACAATATGCTTTCATATCCAATGGGAAAATGGTCCCTTCTGGTGTAGTTTGAAATTATTAATTTGGTAATAAAAATGTGTTACTTGCAGCTGCTTGATCTGTTCTGCATTGTACTGCATAATATCAACAATAATTTTTCTATAAAGACTTTAAATGGGTACTCTAAAAGGAAATGCATTTAAAAGAGAAATGTAAAAGAGTTCTAAGGCACTCTCTATTCTACATGGCTTCATATTTAGTTTAGCTTTGAATGACATATTTTGTGTCACATTTGTTGAAATTCAAATGATTTCAGATTATTTTGCAGAAGAAAATCTATAATATTCTACAATTTCTCATAGTCGTTATTTTAGAGAAGAAAATTTGCTATCCAGTTTTCTTTGTACATCTATGGTTTTTTCTATTTCACTTCAAAATTAGTGTTTTGCATCTGATATTATTTTCCTATGACATATTTTCTTTTGATCCTTGTCTAATCAGGCATATATTCTCATCTAATTTATTTAATCAGTTCTTTGAAAACAAACTTCTGTTATATTTCTTTTTCTATTTAACTGTTGTAGTAGCAAGCCATCCCAATTTTCCTACCACATCTGGAATAGGGTTAATTTTGTTACTTGCTCATGTCTTTTGTTTGATTGTTAAGTACATAAACAACATTTATCTTGTCTAATTTTTAATTTTCTTGCTAAAGTTATTTAGATGTGAACTTTATGTTCAAAGTCCAGACTTTACATCACAATTTGTATTTTTTTGGCTATCAATATGATTTGTATCTTTACTTTGGGAATTTCACTCATTTATTTAGCAACAGCTATAAATTTTGTTTGAATGATTCCAACATCAATTCAGGGAAGGTGCCTTGGCTTTGAAATGGTTCATGTGTAACATACTGTAAAATTTTGATGACAAGACTATATTGTCCAAAAGTGTGAAACTAATTATAAAATATTAGCTTTAACTTTGGTTTTATGAGTATAAAGATAACATCAAAATCATTGAAAGAAATAGTCCCGCTGTGCTGTTTTAGATTTTGATTGAGATCTTTGTTTAATTTAATGTCACTTTTAAAAGCAGTACAAAGTCATAAACAATAACAGATGAGAATGACAACAATTGGAAATATGTTGTAACCATAAAATATGAAGAAAAGTTGAAAAAAAATATAGTTTCATGTAGCTTAGTAAAATGAGGGTACGCCAGAAGCTGTCTTCATGTACTTGACAGCATGGACTTAATTCTAAAATAACTGACTTGTTTAATTGTTTCTCATTCTGTGTTTTTACATGTTAGTAGTGTGGTCATTAGTTCGAGTTAAATATTACATGAAAGCCTAATTTTATAATTGATAAAGTGTATATGAAAATGGATGGAATGTGAAGTCTGTTTTAGTCTTCTGATATTCCCTTCTCTGCCAGGTGGTCTGTTTCTAAAGGTCATCATCACCACTTCCTTCCAAAATGAGCTCTATCTTTTAGAGGATATACCTAAAACTTCATTTTCCCAGCAATCCCAGCAGTAGTTTGCCAATAAGCTATATTTGTGAGAGAGAACACCCATTTTTCTCCATAGGCATATGTGGTGAAATATGTACATAAATGCTTAGGTTAAAAAGCTTCCAAGTGAGCTCTTGACATTTATTTCCTTCACTTGTGCAGTCTGAGACAGTTTAGGGGAGATTTCTGGTGGTTCCTGAGGAAGGCAATGCTTTTGTGCTTTTGAAAAAATTCACATTGAACAGGAGCTTGAGATCATTAGTATTTTCTGAATTTCATTTTCCACAAGATTTTCAATAGCTATATGAACCTCCAGTTCCCTATCCATAATCTTTCCTATATAGACCAGAGTGGAGTTTTTTGCTAATCAATAAAGTCTCAAATCAATAAAGTCTTCAGCATATCAGATTGAAGCTCCATATTCTCATAAATATATCCTTCACACTTAGCTTCTAAGGTTCTATCTAAGCATTTTTCCCAAAGTTAAACAGAACTGTCCTCACCTCATCTAAATATGTGTTGTGTATTAGCTTCCTTTCTACTTTCCTCAAATATTTCCCTTGCTAGAATCCTTGCTATCAAATTCCAAGTAATCCTTGTTTGCAGTTTAACTTTATTCATGCCAAAGAAATATCTTTAAACTTTCCATGACATTCTCTTCCTCATTTACAATGTACCTATTCCTTTCCCTATGATTATGTGATGGCATCATACACTTCCTTTTATTATTATAATTTTATGTCATCGTGAATGATCTTCAAAAATATATTACACACTTATTTTTGGCATAGAACAAATCTTCTCCATTGATTTTTATGTCCTGAAAAAATGTCTAGTATATTGTAATAGGTTAATTAATTCCCATATTTCCAAAGGACATTCTTTTAGGATTGTAAATCTTATCAGTCCTGAATTCACTCATTTAACAATACTTTATTTGATTTAAGTGTAATATTTTTTCTAATACATTTCTTTCCACTATTTTTCCATGCTTGTAGAAGTTGAGTCAAATTTTTTTAGTGTTTTGAGTACATCAAGCATGACTATGACTTGAAGATTTTTGTGCATGCTCTCAATTTCTTTGCCCCAAAGTACTATTTTATCAAAACTTAATATTCCTTCTTCTGTGTCATTCAGATCTCTGCTCAAATGTCACTTCCAAAGAGATCTCCTCTGCATGCTGTATTTAAACAGCAATTTCTTCAAAACTCTCAATTTCCTTGAATTACTTTATATTCCTTATAGCCTAGATTTATAATATTTATTTATCATGTATTTTTGAGTTATTGTCTACTTACTCCACTTAGATAATAAGTTTAGGTAGTAACTCTGTGTGTGTGTGTGTGTGTGTGTGTGTGTGTGTGTGTTTATGTGGTGGTACGGAGGATTGAATTTAGGGCCTTAATGCTGAGCTCTGCTGAGCTACATCCCTAACCTTTTTCTTTCTTTCTTTCTTTGGATAGAGAGACTCATTAAATGAGTAAGTTGCCACAAAGTCTCATTAGATGACTGTTACCCAAGTGGGCTAGAACTTGTGATCCTCCTGCCTTGGTCTTCCAAAGTACTGGAATTACAGGTGTGTGTACCACTGCACCACAAGAAACAGTAGTTTGTTTTTAAACTGCTGTAACTTAAATGCATGAGTAAATGATTATATAATATTTTGTTAAATAAATAAGTGAATTGATGAATTATTGTTGACTACAGTGTACCAGGTACTGTGATAGGCAGCTCTGAGGATGTAAGAATGAACTAAATAGGTATGATATTGCCCTTAGAATCAAAGATAATATCTTCATTTAAAGTAAATCATCACCATCAATTGTGATTATGTGGTTTTAGATATAGCTGAATGCATATGTATATATGTAAATGTTACAAAGCAAAATCATAAGATTCTATGAGAGAATTGAATATAAAAAGCCTTTTAAACTAATGATGATTAGACTGAATTTTAATGGATGATGTGGAATTAGTGGAAGAATAGGTAAAGAATATTCTAGGGAGATGGAAATGCATGTTCTCTCAATGTAAGGTGAGAAGGAGT